CCGGTGCGTGGTGCGTGGGTCCTGCTTTCGGTGGCTAGACGGTCTGCGGGGACACCCGGTCCTGGGGGGGCCTCTCCAGTCCCCGTCTCCCTCGCCTCCGCAGCCCTCTCTCCCAGCGCTTGGACGCGATCCCGCGACCTGCGCGGACGCCCCTCCTTCAGGTATGCGCCCGGGCCGCGTCGGTGTTCCCCCCCACCCTCCCCTCCACGTCGCAGGTCTCCGCTTACACCGCTCGCGCCCTAGTTCCTCCCTCCTCGCTGCCTGGCGTGCCCCAATCCCTGCGCCCCCTCCCGCGAGCCTCCTGCCCCGGTTTCTCGCCCTTTCCACCCCTCCCCCTCTTTCCCATCCACCCCCTTCTGCCTCTTCCCTCCCTGCCCATCTTCTGCCCCCGTCTGTTCTCAGTTCCCCATCCTTCGCCGCCCTCCCAGCCCCTTCTCTCTCCCAGCCGCATCCTGGAACTAAGTCTTTGCAAAAGTACAGGATAAATGTCACGGTGGAAAGCGCCCGGCTTGATCTTTTGCTATTTTCCCTAATTGCATAATTGCTGCACATGGTGTGTCTCCTGGCTAGTGCCGGGTCTAGCTCCCACGCCGCCGCCGCCGCACCCCCGTGGCCCGCCCCGAGAAGACCTTGTTCGGTGTGTTTGTGTTGCACTGGTGTGGGGTGTGTGTTGCATGGGTCTTTTGTGAAGCCTAGCGCTTGTCACACTTTGGGGCCGAAGCCCATTTTTTCTCCGGTCTCTTCTCTGCAGCCCCCACTGGCCTGGTTTGAAACTGGATCTCCCCCCCCCAACCTTTCGCTCCCTCTTCTCTCATAATGTTTTGATCCTTTTGCCCTTTACCATTTCTAATGAAGATAAAGCGTAGCTTCTTGTGGCTTTCCCCCCCTTACGACCAACCAGAAATGTCCCCATCCATCTTCCCTTAAGGAAATTAAGGCTGCTTTAGAAAGACATCATCCTGTGCTCGGTGGCTGTTAGACCTATTTGCATGTTTTCAGGATTCATCGTTCTGTATTGTGTATACTTGAGAGTCTCTTCAAATATTTTTATTTAAAAGTACAAAAGCAATTGCTAGGGTTTGCTTTCAGATTATCTTTGCGCTTCAGAAAGGTTTAAAGCTCTTTTTTTGTTTTATCCCTGATTCTTTAAAAAGTATGTTTTTGAATATGTGATAATTCACTCTGGACCTTGGAAACAAAAATATTTATGTTTACTCAGTTTGGATGCTCCTTCGTATAGGGGCTGATGCAGATCAGGAGGGTTTTCATATAATGTCATACCCCATTCCATCTCCCCCAGGACCTAGCACCTCTTCTTCGAGAATCAGGTGTTCCACTATTATTTCCTGCGTAAATTTCTTTACACATAAGTGGAAAACTGGGTATTGCTGGATGTTGTGCATATAATATAAATTATTTTACATTTTGCAAGAGTTTAGAAACGTGAGTAGGAAGACAAATACAAGATATCAAATGACAGAGTTAAGCGTTTTCGGAAAACTATTGTAAAAGCTCAAATGAACAGTTGGCTTTTGCAGTTTTATACCATGAGATATAGTTATAAGGCTTATCTGGACAGAAATCCGGATTTATGGAGTGAGTATAGTTTTTCTTTGTTATCGTAATATTTATAACCTAATCATTTCATCTTTATGGAACATGTGAGTTTCATTCACTATATATTGCTAATTTCCAGGACTGTAATTACAACATAAAGTACATAGCTAATACAGGCTTAGATAATTTGTGTGTTGAAGAGGGAACAATATCTAAACTCTTAATATAACATATGTTTGAAGAAAGTCTACCTTACTATTTTATGTATAGAAGCCAAATTTTACTTTGAATCCAAAGTAAAAATGTAAATTGAAATATCTTAATATCTTTGAAACTATCATTGATAAGTAGCTCTGTTTATAACCCTGGGATTTAGATAATTGGATCAAATTAGCTATTTAGGAATTAATCAAGATAATTTTAAAATGCTTTATAAGATAACATTAAAAGAGTTTTAATTCAGTAGTTTTTATTCATTTTTACTTCAGAAAAACGAAACACCAACTTTATACTTATAACTAATCAAAATGCTTATGGACTATTTTTCTTTATAAAAATTAGTTGCCACTTGAGTGTCAGTAATTTTTTCCCACACATTTTCCAGTAATTAGGCATTCAAAAAACAAAACCAGAAATTTGCCTTACTCTTGATATTTAAAAATGATATGGAAACTTTGTTTCTAAAAATTTCTGTGTGGTTATTAGTGGCCTCTGATGAATTGATCATCCCTAGGTTAAGATTTGGATGAAATAAAGTATCTTAGGTCAAAAGTGGAAATAATTTTTTTCCTACTTGTGAAACTATAGAAGTTATACATCTATTTGGGTATTTTAAATAATATTTTTAATAGTACTCAAGTGGGACTAATTTTAGTCCTCTGATATTCTGGAGCAGTTTATGAAATTTGGGTTTCAATATATAGCTCAGATTACATCATTGAGTAATCTTTTAAGTAATTGTACACTCATGGCATTATTAGATAGTACGTAAATGCACAAATAATATTAAGAAGAATGTGTAGCTTTATAACTAATGAAATATATAATTGAAACTCTAGGCATAGCTTATTAAACTGTGAAGCTCCAGCTTTAATAACAAATAATTTTATTTCATTTCGGTTTCTATATATTTGTCATGTAATGGATTGCTTCTGGTTTAAGAGGTATAAAATGATTTCTCACATTTCACATTTCTTAAAATACTGCCAGCAGCATTTTGCTACATCGTATCCTAGGGCCTTTCCCTGAGAATTGTTCTCTTTCTCATTCCCATGCACATCTGAAAGCTCTTATGTAGATACTTAATAAGGTTTAAACTTCTGATATATTTTAACTGAAAGAAATAAGCTGGGAAAAAAATCAATGTTGAATCCAAGGATGAGAATTAAAATGAAATACAAATTTTAAGAAATGCAAGAAATATGTTAGGACCATTAGAGCTATATGTGAAATATACTGATAGAAAATTTCAGTATTCTATTAAGTGACTTTAGTGCTCATAAAAAGATGTCTCAGCTGTGGAGACTGATGCTCTCCATTTACAGAATAGGTAGAAAAGCAGTCCGATTTCCCTGTTGGTGTGTTTCAGAGCTGCTTGGGCAGACCTATTTTTGTTTGGCTTGGGGAAAGGGAGCTGCTGGGGTTGAGAGGGGTGGTGGCTATATTTGTGTGATACCTCATTGAAGGCATTCAGTATTTTCTATTGACTCTTCACCTCTGTGCTTCCTGATTCTTCCATTCTCTTGCAGTGCTTTTTGGTTTGTTTTACCATAAATATTTCAATCCATTAAAGGTCTGTATTATGAAATCACTTTGATTTAGAGCAAGCTACAAGTTAAACCTTTGGTGATGATGAATTTTTATCATTGTCAACTAACTATACATTTGGACTAATTATAGTAATAAACAGCGCTTTATTTGAGGTATTTTTCTTTACCATGTTATTATCCTTGATCATATCAAGTACAGTTTATTTCAAGTCCTAATTTAAGAGTAACACAGCATCTTTTTCAAAAGGAATTTGTTCCATTCATCTGTGACTTTTAAAGGTATATTTTGTTGTTAATGGTACTTCTTAAAGGTATGTAGTTCTGTTTTTAAATGAAGAGGTGCCTGAAAAGGTAGCTATACCTTGCTCAGAATGGTTATTAAGTGACAGGTAACATGGTGAGCACAAGGCCCTTTAGAGCCTAGGCATCGGTTTTGTCAGTTTGGTTTGGATTTGTAAGTGCACTCTTTAAGCTAGTTGGGTCATAAGAGATGTATTCATAGTAATCAAACTCAGAAATTGATTATGATAGAATGACAGATAAAAGGGGATATCCCTTTTCACTTACTGCAATTTTTTGTGTCTGCTGTCTAGCTTATAACAGCTACCTGTGTATCAAGATACTGAGGAAATTAAGTTGGTAAATCAGAGCTGCTTGGGGAGCATGAACTCAGAGCAGAGGGAATTTGAAGGCCTTGAGGGATATTTCATTCAGTCTATGGGGGAAAAAGACTCCTCAGTGTCGTAGTACAGTCTCCATCTCTTGTGAAACGTGGTTGCTTGGTATGTTGCTGAATCAATGCTGACACCATCATAAGGTTCAGTTTTTATTTAGAATTGTGCAGGCCTCTGTGTTCTTCTGTTATCACAAAGGTTACTGAGAACAATTGACTAACTAGTTGGGAAGATTTTAACCTTAGCCCAATCCTGAGGATGTGTTGCTGATTGACTATGGATGGGAAAGTGTCCCTTATTCTTTCTGTTTCTGTGGCTGATTTTAGTAACCTTTGTTATACTGTATAGCAAGTTGGCTTATCCACTATACCAGTTTCTCATGTTTGCAGGACCAAAGGGCCTACCTAGCACAGTGCCTGGTGGAGAGTAGTCCTTTAGATTTTTTTTTTTTTTTTGGTAATAGCTTTATTGACACGTAATCCACAAACTATAAAATTCTCCCTTTTACAATATATAATTCAGTGTTTTTTAGAATACTGACAGTTTTGCAACAACGCTATTATCGAATTTCAGAACATTTTCATCAACCCAAAAGGAAACTTTGTACCTATTAGCAGTCCTTCCCCTTTCTTCCCTCACTTTTAGCCCCTGGCAACCACTGACTGACTGTCCTGCCTCTGTCTCTGCTTATTCTGGACATTCATATAAATGGAATCATACAGTTTATGGTCCTTTGTGACAGGCTTCTTCCACTTAGCATAATGTTTTCCAAAGTTCATCCATGTTGTAGCATGTAGATAGTGTATTTCATTCCATTATAAGGCTGAATAATATTCATTGTGTGGACATACCACATTTGGTTTATCCATTCATCAGTTAGTAGACATTTGAGTTGTTTCCTCTTTTTGAGTTCATGAATAATGTTGCTGTGATGTGTTATGTGTTTTCGTTTTTCTTTTCAGTACATTTTGAATGAATGAAAGAAAAGTTTTGGCATTTCCCAATGTTTTGTAAATGACCAGTTTATTCATATTGTATTCACTTTACTTGTTCCACTTTGAGGCTAATTTTCTCTATATTCTCCAGGTACTTTACTGTAGTCCTCCCACAACTAAATAAATGTTTTTTGCTTCTTTAATCTAGGATCTAAAATGGCCACCGAGGCACAAAGAGTTGATGACAGCCCAAGCACTAGTGGAGGAAGTTCTGATGGAGACCAACGTGAAAGTGTTCAGCAAGAACCAGAAAGAGAGCAAGTTCAGCCCAAGAAAAAGGAGGGGAAAATATCCAGCAAAACAGCTGCTAAATTGTCAACTAGTGCTAAAAGGTACCTCAGTTATAGTAAGCTTTTTACTTTTAGTATCACTTTATCATCTGAAGTTCTGTCTTTCTGTTGCATTTGATCATTTTTCTGCAATGTGAACCATGAAGTTCATGGATTTTTCTTCTTCGAGATTATTTATTTTACATGGTTTTCATTGTAGGCAACATGAACTTTTTGGTATTTAAAGTCAGTTAAACAGCATGGCAAATTAATAAAATACATATCTGTAGTGTGTTTGTGTATGTGTATGTATTGTTAGATGAGCATATACAGGAAAATGCATGTAAAAGTGTGATGGTTTGATTTATACTTACTTGACAATAAACATTTTATTCTGTTCAGTAACAGACACTAGAGAGTAGGACTCTATTAAAATAGTTACTGAATAGTGTATTTGTACTGCTCCCGGTTAAGAAGGTGAGACATGCTGGAGTTCAGAACAAATGCGTCTTGGTTTCATTATATTAGGCAGTGGGTCAGTCTTAATACAGATTTTCTTTTTCTCGATACAGATTTTCTTTTTCTCTAGAGAACAGATAGATCTGGAAAGTATATATTTGAATGATTCTGCATTGCCACATCAATTGCTTATGATCATTGGCATGTCAGTGGACTCAGCAGAGGGAATCTACTTTAATGTTGTTACATTATTGACTATCTCTTGGAAAAGACTTTAAAAGTAAATTAAATTTCGGAGCGTCCCGATGCTGTGATTTAACGTTCTTGTTTTGTTTTAATACTTTTTTTATATCAACTAGGAAGTGTAAATAAAAGTGGTCTGTAAATTTTAGACATTGTCTGAATGCTATCTAGTTTTGAGATGGTGTCTGTATGTGTCTGATTGTCACTTAATAGAAATTGGTACTATTACATTGGTGAAAGTAAGTTTTATTTATTTATTTTTTTAAGTTTCAGGTGTATAAAACAATGTAATAGTTAGACATTTACACCCCTCACAAAGTGAAAGACAGTTTGGGGAATATAATCAATAATGTTGTGAAGATTTTGTAGGGTGTCAGATGGGCACTTGTCTTATTAGGGAGACCACGTCATGGAAAGTGAGTATCTTTTGAGTTGCTTCTTGGATAGAAAGAATCCCTTTATTGGTAAAATCATTGTTATGAATCTGTGATTTTCAAATTGTGATTCATGACCTTCCCCTAGAAAGTCTCCGGGTTGTTTATGGGTGACAGTCTCTGAAGTGACTTACTCATTTACCATCTGTTTTAAATATAAAAATGCTGCTTCACTGTTAATTTTTAATTAAAAAAAAGGATTCTTTCTCTTGCCTTTCCCCCAAATTTAGTTGATAGTGATGTTATTATTTTTCCCATCTCTGCCTAAGTTCTGAGAGCTGAGAAAAAAAATTGAGAATCATGAGGGTAGGGACCTACTCTTTATAATTCACATTATGTCCACAGTGCTTACTATACGAGGGTCACAAAATGTATTGACTGGTTGTCTTAGAATTTTGATTTTATTGTAGGGATTGGATCATTCATGGATATTAGCATCTGAGTACTAATGTTTGGAAGATTCAAAGTTAGAAGTAGTTTAAAAATAAAATTCTAAGTTGTACTTTATTACTGATCATTGATTTTTATTCAGATGAGAAGTCTTTTCCAAATAATGTCATTTTATGAGGGATAGTTAATCAGAAGTAGTGCAGAGCTTAAACTCTAGAGATAGGATCTAGGTTTGAGTCTAGGTTCTGGCATTTAGTAGCTCTGTGATCTTAGATACATAATTTAACATTTCTAAAACTTGGTTTCCTCTTCTGTAAAATGGACATAATAATGGGATCATCTTCACAGGACTGCTGTGAGGAATGAATGTGATGAAGCATTTATTTGGCACATAGGTGTCGCACACTGATGCTATCATTTACTCTTTGTGCCAGTTAAAGTCCACAATCATAGTTTTCAAGTCCATTTAGTAAACTTTAGAGAAATGAGATATATGTTAACCTCTTAGGACTTAATGCTGTTGTTAATCTAGAAACACTCAGATGCTATAATTATATACATTTTATGGTAACTCAAGGAAAGTACTTTACACAGATGTGCTCAATTTCATGAAATGTATTATAATTGTAAAACTAGCAGTTTGGTATAGAAATGTGTTTTCTTGAAAAAAATCCCAGCTTTCAGGTATTACAGAAAACTGATGTACAATACAGAAAACATTTAAGTGGGTATTTTATTTAAACAATGATATAAATTAATCTCTTTCAGAATTAAGAGGAGGATTATAGTTATATCTTTGTTGCATTTTTGCTCTTTGGCAAGAATTTCTTTTGTAAAAAAACTGATATGCTTTTATCACATTCTGTTCTCTTGATAATGTCTGTAACACTCGTGTTATATTTGTAAGTATGTAGTTGGACCATGTCTGCAGTGACAAATTTTGATATTATTAAATTGACTAATCAATTCCATAAAACATCTGTTTTGAGCCCTTCATTGAATTGCCTGTACTGCTTTTTTTGTGTGTTGACACATATGTAAATGTGAATTTTAAATTACATTTATTCCAAATTAACTTTGTTCAGTGTAGACATTGTGATTTTATTAGACACAATATAATACTGCTGTAGGAATGATATTTGGTTTTAGACTCCAAATTTTTGTTAGGTTGAAAGGTGGATGGATTCTAGTTTATTCCAGTGTGAACTTTTATTATATGGGCTCATCTAAGTTTGTTTTCCACATGAGAATGAAGTAGTACTCTATAGATAATCTTTTGTAATTACTCTCTTTTCTTTATTCTAAAAATGTACATTTAAAAACTTCAGTGTTTCTGAAAGAGTACATCACACAACTGATGTGCACATTTAATTGAGGGTGTCTTAAAAATCAGTGGTCTCTCAGGATCACAGATGCATAGTACCATTGACCTTTGAACAGCATGGGTTTATACTGCACAAGTCCTCTTGTATGCAGACTTTTTTTTCAATAAATATCTGCAGTGTGTTTGTTCTGCAGTTGGGAGCTGAGGATGTGGAAGGCCGACTGTATGCATTCACCTGTGCAGTTTATAAAACGGGACTTGAGCATCCACGGATTTTGATACATGAGGGATGGTCCTGGGAACCAATCTCCTGCGGATACCAAGAGTAGTTAAGTTTATGGGGAGTCAAAAGTTATACGCAGATTATTGACTGCGAAGTGGTCTGTGCCCCTCACCCCAGTGTTGTTCAAACATCAACTGTATATACAGTAGTTCCCTCTTATCTGCAGTTTCACTTTCCATTGTTTCAGTTACCTGCAGTCAACCTCAGTCCAAAAATATTAAATGGAAAATTTCAGAGCTAAACAATTCACAAGTTTTAAATTGTGCACAGTTCTGAGTAGTATAATTAAATCTCGCTTCCGCCTGGGATGTTAATCATCCTTTAGTCCAGCATATCCATGTTGTATATATACACTACCCGCCCGTTAGCCATCTTGGTTATCAGATCCGCTGTCACAGTATCGCAGTGCCTGTGTTCAGGTCACCCTTATTTTACTTAATAATGGCCCCAAAGTACAAGAGTGGAAGTTTTCAACTTAAGAAAAAAAAAATCATATGCTGAGGTTATTAAGATCTATGGTAAGAACTAATCTAACTGTGAAATTGCCCAATTTATAAATTAAACTTTATCATAGGTTTGCATGTATAGGAGAAAAGCATATAGTACACAGAGGGTTTGGAACTATCTGAGGTTTCATGCACCCACTGGGGATCTTAGACCTTATGCCCTGTGGATAATGGAGGGTGACCTGCTCTACCACCATTCAGAATTAAACTCTTGGCTTACTATTTCCAATGGCTCTCTATTTTATAGGTTAATTCAGAGACTACTATGAGATTTAAAAATTTTTAGTAATTAGTTGCATGATGTTTTCTTCTTGAGAATAAGTTCATTTTGGGAGGTTTGACCAGTTGATTCAATTGTTAGAATAGTGGTTCTCTGGTGACTGAGGAATGTAGTCCATAGGGGATACAGAAAGTCATCTAGGTAGGATAAAGGGTTTTCCTTTTTGTTTTTAAATAACTGCCAAGAAAACACCTTTGTAAATCCCCATGTCCATATATTCATGTTCTGTTTGGCCCTGAACGAGTTATTGAGTTTTCTTTAACCTAAATTATGTGTGTGTTTTAAACATGTCACTGCGTATACACAGCTTCATTTTTCTGAACTATTAACCCAGTATGTTGATATTAAAATGAGTGCTTCATATCATCTCCATCTTGTATAATTTTGGTACCATATTCTTCAATTAAGTCTGAATGAATAATGACTGTTATTCCCTTGCCACCCTTTCTTTTTAGCAAATGACAGTCACATGCTGTACTCGTACCATTCCTGGAACAGTTAAGGTATTAGTCTTAGACACTGAAATTTAGTCTGTGTTTGGCTTCTGACTCGTTTCAGTAACTATGTGCAGTTGCTGAATTCTGTATCGTAATACTCAAAGAAGTTGCACTGCCAAATGGAAATTGGAAATTTAGGCAGTTGTCTAGTTGATTTATGTCTAAAGAAACAATTTTGTCTTAAAAGTTCTGATAAGAGAGAGGTCTTTTGGTTTGTTTGATTTAGCAAGATAATTGCCTGTCCCTCACCTTACCAGTTTATAATAACGAACCTTATTTTCCTTATCTTTTAAATGGGGACTGATAAAACAGTAAAACTTAGAGAATTCTGTGAGATTTATTTAACTCACTTTTAATAGCCTAAAGTCATGTGAAGGATGCACTATAAGTGTGAATTATTGATACTTTTTCGTTTTTCCTCTCCCTAAGGGACAGTGCCTGAAGTAGCTACCTTCCTTACCCCACTTGTCAAGACCGAGAAACTTAATATATACTATGATCACAACTTTTGAGATAGAATTGAATTGCTGTCATTGAAAACAGTAGGACACCTTGCAGCCGTTTAAGTAGCAGTTCTTAGTATAATCTTTTTTTTTTTTTGGTCAAGAGAGAAAAACCATTTTTAGGTAACAGTAGCTCAAAATATAATATATTGACTCACTGCTCAGAGTTGTCAAGTTTATCAGTAAATTGCTTTTTGTATTGAATAATTAGATTTGGAATTATAGACATCTGGAAGGGTTCAAGTTCCATTATAGAATTCTGTGACAGAAAATTATGATAAATCAATTTTTTTTAAACCAAAAGGGAGCGTATGAGCACAAAGCAAGATGAGTTATTTGAAAAATCCCAAAGAAGTTCTTTTATGTTTAAAAATAGTTTTCTTTGACAGTTTAAACATACTCTTTTGAATGCCTGTTCTTTTGGTCCTGTTAATTTAAAAACACTTTGTAAAAGTTATTCATGCTTCTGGTAAAAAACAGTACAGAGACATTTTTAATGGAAAGCCACAGTTTTCTGTCAAAACACCCTCCCTATACCAATTTCATTCCCTTGAAGCTAACTCTTTTAGCTGTCTCCAGTTTTAGTCCTTCTGTTGGTTTTCTGCAGTACTCTAAATAATATGCTTATATCTATTTGTTGAATTGTTAATGTAAGTAATATCTTTGGACTTTGTGCTGTGAAATTTGAGAATGTAACTTCTTTACCTACCCTTGCTTCCTTTCCCTTTCTGCCAGTTAAGGATAGTTACATTAAAAAAAAAGTATTGGTTGTCTTTCTAAAGTAAATAATATATTTAAGCCACTATTCTTATTCCTTCAAATTTCAACACTATTTCTTGGTTCTCTGTTTTGTAAAATAGGGACATTAATACTTGTGTTCTTACTCCCATCTACTCACACCCATCCTCCATCCACTTTTAGCTGGTTAGCTACACTTAATTTTACATCCTCAAGGATAATAACATTTGTGTAGTGCAGCTACAATATTCTCTGCTTTATTTATAAATAAAAGACCAATAAATTGTGAGAACATTTACTATAATTAAATATTCAGTGCCAGACCAAACAGGATGTTAGGATTAGATCTCCTACAAGTCCAATGTCAAGATCTCTAGGCTACCCAGTGAGTCATAGCATTTAGGCAAAATATATCAAATCTCTCCTTTTCCCCTTAATATGTTACTTGATTAGAATTATTTTACATTTTAGTTTCCCTCTTATTTGACCTATGGTTTTCTTACAGAAGTGTTTTTCTTCTGGGATTTCTGGTTGTCTTCGCCTACAC